TTATTATATATATATATATATATATATATATATATATTATATTCGTAGAATAAAGAGGTTGTTTTCGATAAATTCTAGACTAAAAAAAAATTCTTGAAGAAATGCAAGAATAGTCTTATACTTGTGATTCTAATTTGAATTGGTTGGAACAACAATACCATATAGGTAGTGTAATTCCACTAGTAGAGTTTGAGGAGGATAGAGTGTACGTACACAGTCTAATCCCTACCTCGTAATGATAAGTGGAGATAGAGAGATTGTTTCTGATAGATTTTATCTATCAAGTAAAGCATCTAAAATAATTTGAAAAAAGAGAATACAACAATAAAAACAATAACATCAACGACGAAATAAAGCATTATGAAAAGCGGTATATAACACACAAAAAACGGACAATAACAACAATGAAATAATGTGGTAATCGAAGCACTAGCACAACACTCAACGAACAAGAAACTACGAGAACAATGCTAATAGTACTACTTGTTATTTTGATTCAGCTGGAACTATAAGTTCTCTGTTTGGGCCATTTGTTGAGCTTGTAAAATCATGGAACTTACCTGACTGGCTAGTACATTGGGGACATCCTGGTAACATGGTATGTTTTCTGCATCTCTCTCGATTCGAAAAGAATCGAGAGAGAAAAAAAGAAAGAATCGGAATTGATGATAGATTTCCCGAAACAAACAAAGAGTACTAAACAGAACAAAACTTTCCTTTTTTTTTCAGGCTGTTGTTCTCTTTGCTATGGGTGGTTATGGAACTTACCTTGGTTTTCGGATACGATTCTCTGATGACGTGGTAAGAACTAAGAAACGTTGTCATCGTCTATAACGCCCCCTTTATGATGAGTCGTATGATTTTGCTTACTATACCTGTTGTTTTATTGCGTTGCATTGTTAAGTAGTACTCTTATTGCCATCGGGATAAATCGATGTTTTCTTGCATTGTATTGTTAAGTAGTACTCTTATTGCCATCGGGATAGATCGATGTTTTATTGCATTGTATTGTTAAGTAGTACTCATTGCCATCGGGATAAATCAATGTTTTATTGCATTGTATTGTTAAGTAGTACTCTTATTGCCATCGAGATAAATCGATGTTTATTTGCATTGTATTGTTAAATAGTACTCTTATTGCCATCGGGATAGCTCGATGTTTTATTGCATTGTATCGTTAAGTAGTAGTCTTATTGCCATCGGGATAAATCGATGTTTTATTGCATTGTATTGTTAAGTAGTACACTTATTGCCATCGGGATAGATCGATGATTTATTGCATTGCATTGTTAAGTAGTACTCTTATTGCCATCGAGATAGATCGATGTTTTATTGCATTGTATTGTTAAATAGTACTCTTATTGCCATCGGGATAGATCGATGTTTTATTGCATTGCATTGTTAAGTAGTACTCTTATTGCCATCGAGATAAATCGATGTTTATTTGTAGGAGGAAAAGGCGAAAGCTAAAGATTTGCATCCAAAACTTCTAGGAGGAATGTTCTTCTTCTTTGCTCTTGGAGCTACTGGTGGAATAACATCCCTACTTACTTCAGATAAGCCTATTCTTGAAAGGTACTTTATTTAGACGTGTGCTCGGAAAAAAAAAATCAAATTTTTTCATGTTTGGTTGGTCAAAATGTTTTGGAATAACATTTTGTGTAGGCTTAAAAAAATAAGAAAAAACGACTTTTGTAGTCAGAGGAGGGAAAACAAGTTGTATAAACAGTATGTCGCGCTCTGACATTGTTTTTGTTGTAGTCCTCATGCTGTTACAGGTTTTATTGGTCTTACACTTTTGACTATACAAACCATTTTGCCTACACTATTCGAGGTAAATTCGTTCAATTTGTCTAAAATTATACCTAAATCGGGGATTGAGATGTAGTTGATTGATCGATACTGATGTTAAGTTATCGTGAATTGTTTAGGGTAATCCCGGATTGAGGAATGTTCATGGGATATTGGGAAGTGGTATAATGACGTTGTTCCTCGTACACGCGTTCCTCGGACTTCAGCTTGGTTTAAGTTACTAAAACTTGTCGATTCATGATGAACGACGAAGAATAGACTGTTGGGATATACTCTTTTTTTTTTATTTCGATTATGATTAATTTGCTATTGAAGTATAGTTCAAATTTGATATAAAGGTTATAAATTCAGAAATATTTGTATGTTAGATTGGTGATGGAAAAAAATATTGAGATACTTTTAGTAATTAATCATATTGTTTCTATGAAGTCACAAACACAAATGTGTTATCCGTTTATCCTGGATTTCTTCGTTCGATATTTGTTCGATATTTATACAGAAGTTCGATTAAATATTGAATCACGCATAGCATGATTTTTTTTAGGTCGATGCATCAAATAGAATTATTTTCATTTTCAAGAGCTTAAATTTGAAACCGAAGGGATTTCAACCATCCTATTATACCCCACATATATTTGAGACCGATACCTCTTATTTGGAAAATTACGTTGTGTAGCTAGGTAAAAATTTATTTTTATGTATATGGAGTATTAGATATTGACATTTCTTGACTTCTGTTCGATTTTTCTTTTTTATATTTTGACATTTCTTAGTCGAAATTCTAGCTCCACCACCGACTATATTTTTTACTATCTCTAGCTGACCGCGGCAGTCTACAAGTTGATCCATATCAAATACTCACCGATCTTATTTTATGTGATATTTTTGAATTTTTAGATCTAAACAAGACTTTGTTTGATCATAATTTTTTCATACATCCTCTGAATCTCTTGAATTATCAATTGTTGTGACTTATAATACTTTTGATATAGTTTTCAAATATGTAAATTTTATTTTCAAAAGAAAAAAAAACTCAAAAATTTCATGTCCGAATTTAACGTCAAAATTAAATTTGTTTTAACTATTAAATTCGAATTGTGCTATATAAATTGAGACCGAGTAAGTATGAGTATCAACTATCCGAAATGTTGGTTCAACTAATTAGATTATATTATTAATAATTCAAATAATTTTTATAATAGAGTTCTATAATAATAATTTAAAAAAAAGGTGAGAGAAATAAATACACTTTAGTGTATGATAAATCATTTAGCAACTCAATTATATATCAAGATATTAAAAAGGACAATTTGTTGCTATGCATAATTTCAATTGAAGAAATATGCATTTATTGGTCTGTCAATTTTTGGATAATAATTCATTAACCTATCCAACTTTTTTCTGCTAAGTGAATGTTATAATTAATTAAAAGTTTATGTTAAAAATTAGTTAAATTGTTTTTTTGGGGTGGGGGGGGGTGGGGGGCATAGAATGAAATTATAAAAATATATTTTTTCCAACTATTTAAAGAAATAATGCAGTTAGTTAAATTTCTTGATTATCAAAATTATAATTTGTCAACTTCTTTGGACTTGAAGTGTGTAATAATTGACCACTGCTAATTTTGACAATTGATGAATTCACACAGCTAAATAAATAGCATTTTTTCAAATCTGAGTATTTTTTCAAATCACACGTTAGAGTCGTATGTTGAGTCCCAAGCCAAGGTGGAGAATAAAGAATTATACCTAAAGACTTTGAACTTGGATAGTCGATTTTAATCTGTTAAAATTCAATATATTCGATCCATCTATTTAATATAATACTCCTAAATTATTATTACTACTACTATTGTCTAGTTTACCATAGTGTCAATGCAAATTAGAGGACAAAAATACCATATAATTTTGTATGGGTCTCCATTTGTCTAGCTGTCCCATCATATAACCAGCAAAACAAATAATATTGTTAATACCTTAACAAACAAATTATGACCGACACTTCTTCCTTTCTATTTATATTCACATATAATTCGATGTTAATAATTTATTTGTACTCGATATATAAATATATATACTTCTCGTAGTCTGGGTCTTACCAATTAGGGAGTAAATAATATAAATGTTGAATTTTATTATCGAATAAATAAAAATCCGAGATTAATCTGATTTCAATATCATGATAAGAAAATGAATCTTGATCTAACTTGTTAGCCTCAAAAATTAATTTGTAATAATATAAAAATACATCTATCTAAAACATTATAAAGAGATTAAGTCTCCATCCAATAAATGATGTAAAAATTAACAACTTTTTTTTACTATTGTAAAGTAATGTAAATAAATACAAAATACTAGAAAATCTATATCATAATTTGTATTTATAATTGGGTGAAGTTATTATTATTATTATTATTATGTATATATATATGACCGACACTTAGAAAAATAGACATACAAATATAAATGTACACTTCACGCTTGACAACAAAATTGATTGTGTATAGAGTAGGTTCTAACAGATCTAACTTCTTTTTTCTCTTTTCTAGGTTGGCTGGATCTCCCCTAGGGATCTACACTATATTTACGTTACTTTCTCCGTTTTAAAATACTTTCTCTCTCTAAAAAAACGAACAGTTCGGTATACAAAAGTCTTCGTTATACGCAAGGTTCAGGATCAATTTTAGGAAATTTTACCAGAAGTTACTTTCAATGCTTGAATTCGTGATCTCCTAATCACATGACAATAACTTTATAAATTATTCCAAAGCTTCTCTATTGCTCATTTTTATTTGTCTGTTTAAACGTTTCTTGAGAAATATTAATCAACGTGAATATCTGATTATAGTCTTAGATATCAAGAGAAAGAAGTTAGAAATAAGTTATTGACGTTGATGGTAAAATAGTTGAAATTTTTTAATATTACAATAATAAATAAATTAAAGTGAATCGAAAAAATAATATAAGACCGCAAAAAATAAAATATCAAGATCCAAAAAACAAAAGGGGTCAAAGTAGTTTGTGAAGGAATAAAAAGACAGATCAAATCCTTGAGTAATTTGTCAAACATACAGCTATAAACTAATCGTTTGACATATGTTTGCAATTTGCAATACACTCCATGTTACTCTTGACGTGCAAACGCATAATAATGCCTTTTTTCTTGTTCAGATCGGAGACGATTCAGAATTTAAAGTTTATGAATTTCAATTGTTCATATATCGTTATATATTATTATCTATAAATGAAATATTTTACTTTACTAAATCTTATATTGTCACTCGAAATTTTATAATGTTATATTGTTATATAAATTCATTTTTTGTTAGATCTATTTAAGGAAAAACGTTTCTTAATAAAAAAAAAATTATATTAAAATATTAAAATTATTTTATTCATCTACCATAATCTTCATTGATTCTTACGAAACTTACCAACTTTTAAAAATTAATCAAATTATAATCAAGTCAAAGAGTAGGTAACTTCTCTTCTATGATCAAAAGTTAAAAGTGACATCTACCAAACCTTGTTGTAGGTGAGTTAAAAAGGCAACTAAGTATGTTAAATAATAATTCCACTATTAAACAAACAAAATTCAATGTTAAAAGATATTGTGTAATAAATAAGATTGTTTTTTTAATAAAATATTTCAATTTTAAATTTTACAAAATAAAATTATTTTTTATGAAAGTACTTTTTCGAATGAACTCTACGTAACGAGATGAATTGAAATAAAAATAATAATTAACCATCTAGTCACAACTTACAACTCCATAATGCAAATTCTTACCAACCAACTTATTTTTACAAAAAAATATATATAACTATTCACCAACTTCAACAAATATAAATATTACAAAACCAGCTTAGTGGGAACATGTCACCCCACGCACACAAACAACAAATTCGATTTATAATTTATTATAAATGTTTTCTTATTCCACAAACTTAATTTTCAAATGAAATAAGTAAATAATAATACCAAAATTATGCAAATAAAACACAAAAGAAACTTTTGGGGTTATTTATACCTCGATTATGATATTATTTTTATTTACACTACATGTGGACGAATAATTTTAGAATTATTTATTTTGAGATTTAAAATTAAAACTCGTCGAGCAAAGTTTTTAAAAGAAATTTAAATTTAAATTTGAAAATAAAAAACTATACTACTTTGTCTTAGTTTGATTTAAATCAAATACATATACTTATATTATAAAATCATATATCTCAATTTTAATCAAATAAAACAAATATATACTAATAAAAATATATTTACTAAATAATTCCTTTAATATTAAACGATCACGACCCCGATCCAACAATAACCTACATCAGAATTTTAGTTGCTCATTTAGTTAGCTATCTGAACTTCCACCGCATCTTATTATAAAGATCGGATCACATTATAATTTACTTGATTTCTCCTTTCTCTTCCTTCAACTACTAAATTTTTTTTTTTCCGTTTATTTTTACTTGTTTATCGAAATCATAAAACTACACTAAAATTTAGGAAATGATCTTGACCGTTAAATAATAAATAGTGAGTGGGTCCCATAGAGATGGTAAAATGCGTGTTAAGATTGGGACCCACAGAGAAGGTATATGTGGGCCATAGGGTGGTTGGTGGTGTATGAAAGACGTGATTTAAAAAAAAAAAAGCGAGTGAAGTCTACGCGCCTTCTCCTTCAATTTCGCTGCTTATAAATACTGGACCACATCATCTCCAAATTCGTCACACAGATCCAAATCTCTTCTAATTTCTTCTCATCAGAAAAAAAAATCTTCAATTTTTCGAAGGTATGTTTCTCAAATTCATGGCCGAATTCACTTTGATTTGATCTGTTGAATATGTTTTTGAAGCATTTTAACATCTAGATCTTAGCATTTTTGCTGTAAATGTACTCGTTATGACCTGTGAAAGAGTGTTTTTAGCAACATTTTCTATTGTGCAATTGTTCTATGTTGTTTTTCATGTCAAATTCATGGAGTAATCTGCAGTTCTTTTTTATGTATTTGGTTTGTTATGTTAGATCTGTCATTAATTTTGTTCGAGCGTATATTAGCAGCTAGATCTCAGTATTCGTAGACTGAAATTTCTGATTTTTTTAAATTTATGTCAGTTGATTGGTGTCGAAAAGTTTCAAATTTGTGTAAATTTTTGGTGTTCCAGCAGCAAATTTTGATATGCTAGTGTTATGTGTATAGGATCTAGATCTCAGTATCTATATACTATGAATATTCTAGGGATGTGAGTTTATAAATGTTAATTCATTTCAACAAGTGTCAAATGTGTGTAAATTAGAGTGTTCTAGCAACATTTTTTATATGCAATTGTTATGTGTTGTTATCAAAATTATGTTTTCAAATCCATGGAGGAATTTATTGGTTTTCTTTTTTCTGTGTTAGATTTTTTGATTGTGTTGTTGTTTTGATCCATTAGATCTGTTGTG